ACCTGTCAGAACTTTCACTACCAATATCCATTTAAAACCTCACATTGCCTGGCCCCACTCACACCTCAGATACATCTACATAAAACAACATATTTGTTCCTCTTTCTTAAAACTAAAAAGACTTAGAACTACAAACGAGTCCATATGCAGAAATCTACCAATGCTACAAACACTGGTTTCAGTTAAAAGAAAAGAAGTTTCCATTAGTTTATGTTAAGTGTATCATTTTCACTAGACGTTCTCCAAATGTAGCTGACAATCACAAACACAAGACTAGCTAACCGTCCTAAGTCTACAGCTCATACCTATTTCTAACATCCTTATTTAGAAAATATCTAAGCTTAACCTTGGCTTTAAAAAGGTTAAGAACGTACCTTTTCATACTTCTCCTTTAGCTTGGCCGCCTTCTGTTCATACGGTTGTTTATCTTTGGCTGACTGTTCAGACCACATTTCACCCAATTTTTTTGCAGTATCCCCAATGGATAAGCCAGGGTGCTCACTTTTGATCTTTGGGCGATGTTCAGAACAAAACAGGAAGAAAGCAGACCTAAAAGGAAGCAACAGTTAATAAACTGAATGGAAAAGTAAAGGGGCAATGGGACTGATTCGAAAACCAACTTACGGAGGCCTTTTAGGAGCATTGGGATCTTTTTTCTTTCCTTTCTTGTCACCTTTGGGAGGAACGTAATTTTTCATCTCCCTGTCATAGCGAGCTTTGTCACTTTTTGCCATATCCTCGAATTTCGACTTTTCCTTCGCAGACATGGTCTACGGGCACGAGAGGAGCAAAGTACAGCAAAACCGTAAGCTACGTACATCGGAAAAAAGTTCGAGATCATCCTGAAGGGCCACATTTTCCTGACTAGGCAGCGTTCTACTTTTAGCAGTCTTAGAAGTAAACAAAAACCTAAAACAATCCGCCCGAAACGCTACGTGAAATACCCGGGCGAGTCGCCCCCGTGGGCAAGGTGACAAGTGACCTACCTGCCTAAGGCCCTCCCCAAGAACACAACACCTGAAAAGCCCTTAGCTCGGTCCGCGCTCCGGCCTCACCTTCCATCTCTCGGAACATTTCTTGGAGAACTCGGCGAAATTGACCGAAGAGTCCGGGTGCTTCTTCTTGTGCTCCTCCCGGCAGGTCTGCACGAAGAAGGCGTACGAGGACATCTTGCCCCGCGGCTTGTTGGGGTCTCCTTTACCCATGGTGACGGCCGGCGTCTACGCGGCGGGGAGAAGGGCGGTGGGCGGACGCCGGCGGGGCTCGGCTTCCCGCCCAAACACGCGCCCGCCCCCCTCTCGCGAGGAAGGCGCCCGGCTCCCCCGCCAGCCCGCCCCGGGCGGCCGCCTCCGCGCACACAAGCCCTCCTCCCGGCCCCGGCCCGAGCTGCCCCGGCCGCTGTCCGCGCGCAGGCACCGCGTCTCTTCCCAAGGCCCGAAACACCGCCGCCGCCCGCCGCCAGCCGCCCGCCGCCCGCCCGGGCCCAGGGCTGAGGGAGGGAACGCCGGCGAAATCCCCCCCCCCTTCCCGACAGAAATGCTCCCCGGGCTTCCACGTCGCCGGCCCCACTCGAAGGAGTGTCGCCTCGCGACCGACGTCCAAAAAAAACCCGATTGAAACCAGGCTCGGACGAGCTTCCCGCCCGCCCGCCCTCCACAGCCCCCAGCCCTCACCCCAGGTTCCGCTCGCCGGGTCGAACCCCAAGAGCCACAGCACCCGGCCCAGCTAAAAGGGTATGAGGAAAGGGGGAACGGCAGGCCCACGGACGCGAAGGGGCTGAAGGGGATTCTTGCCTGGTGGGAGCTTTTCCTCAGAGTCCCGCGGAGGGGCCGGATCCAACCGAGACGCTTCCTTCCTAGGGCTCCGGCGTGAACTGGTTTATCGCTAACGCAATCCCCAGCCTCTTGTTTTGCAGAGTTCTCCGCGCCACGGTAACTTGACGAGCCGGGCCACAGGCCACGCCCCCGCCTCTCTGATTGGTTCTAGTGATTATTCAAACTCTTGCAGACCCCGCCCCTTCGCCACGGAGGCCTCCGATTGGTCGGTGTCTCGCCAGGCCCGTCCCTCCAGCTCCAGCCTAGCAGGTTCGGTGGGTCTCCCAGGTCGTTAACTCCCAGACCCGTTAGAACCGGTCAGGAGAGGAATGTACTGCTCGATCCTGATTGGCGGCGGGAAAAGGGTTTGAAAAATGGCGGGCCTGACGCTGACTGGCTGGGGCGGTAAACGGGGGGAGTGGTTGGCCTGAAAGGGAAAGCCCCGCCAGATTTAAAAATACCAAGTGTGGAAATAGGGTTGTTCTCAAGGGGTCGGCGGCGGCGGCAAGGTTTCCAGGCGCTAAGGTAACGGAAGCAGCCTGCCCTAGCCCTCCTCCGACCACTGTCCAGGTCCTGTCTCTCCTCCGCCCCAGTTCGGCCCCGCAGTGTTGTCTCCTGAGAGCTGTAGTCGCTGGCCTTGTGACCCCCACACAGGGTCCAAAAAATAACAAATGGAGAGAGGCTGGGGAGCGGGCCGATTGCCTCGCTCCGCCCGTTTTCGCTGAGGCAGGGTAGAACGCAAGTAAGACCAGAGGTAGGGGGGAACCGGGGAGGGGCGCGGGGGGCGCGGGAGGGTGGCTCTTCCCGCCTCTCGTGAGGTGTTACAAAACGATCTTTGAGCGAGGCGTTTCCCGCCGGTGGAGTTTCCCTCAGCAGGTCCCTCCCTCCCTTCCCCCTTTGTGTCGGGTGTCCGACACCTGGAGGTAAACAAGGGCGCCCCGGGGTCCCGAAGGAGCGGAAGCGGGCCTGATCTCCTCTGGCTCCGCCCCCTTCCTCCGGGTCCGAGTTCCCGGCGGGGACCGCCCGGCTGGGCGCTGGTCAGCCTGTTTGATTCCTGTCGTCGGCCCGCCACCTCTGCGTAGCCTAGCTGTCACCTCGATATTCACGGTCTTGTGTCTCTTATATGCTAATGTAAAAACTTTTAAAAATCGAAGATCCTCTTGAAATGCCCATAAAAGCAGTGAATGCTCCCCACCCGCCAACTGCTTGTATTCGCCAAGCGCCTTTTGCAGCGTTTTACAAACTCCTCCGGCCCCAGGTTGAGAACCTCCGTTTTAGTTGAAGCGCACCATAGCTACCTTACTGCTTGCTGGCATCACAAGCCGCTTTCCCCCGAGTAACAGAACTTCCACTGACATCTTAGTACGCTGCTTCTGTGTTGTATTTCGTTTTGAGGTCTGTTTTTTCCTATTGGCCCATGTGTTGCACTGTCGGTTTCAACACATTTTAAATATTCGGTCTTACTTTCTCAGTAAATTCACTGGCATTTGTTAGATTGTGCCTATTTGGTTTATGTACTGCAGTCATAGTCAATCATAACTCAGAACTAGCAGCTTTTTTTTCTTTAATCTAACAGATCTGCCGTTTAAAAACTAGGTTTTTAAAAATGTATTTTCCTTGGAAATGGAGATTGTTGCCCAACGTTGTGAAAGTACTAATGCCACTAAGTTTATAAATAAATTTTAAAAGTGTTGCTATGTATGTTATGTTGTATAATGTATGTTGCTATTTGAATAATGTAGTATGATTTGTTAATTTGGATTTTTATGTGCCTTTTATAGTACAGTTCTGTGACCTTATTTGAAAGCAGAGTCATTGCAGATGTAATCAGTTAAGATGAAGAATATATGGAGGTGGATAGGCTCCTAATCCAATGAGTGGTGTTCTTATAAAAAGGGGGATTTGGACCCAGAGAAAGGCATAGAGGTTAGACAATGTGAAAAGACACAGGGAGAAGTTGGCCATTTACAAGGTAAGGAGAGAGGCCTGGAATCTTCCTCAAGGTTCCTGAGAAGGAACCAACCTTGTTCACACCAATATCCATTCTTTACTCCCTCAGTGGAGAACATGAAAACATTTCAATATTTAATCTACTTGTACTTTGGATGCTAAGACTTTACTCTTAGGCTATATTTCCTGGCCTAGAAGTAACATCAAAAAGCACTGGAAAGTGATAAATGAATAAAGTTTAAGTGAGATTTAAGTGAAATCTACACAATTGTTGGTTACAGAACACCCTTTTCTTTCTTTTCTTTTTTTAATAACTATATACAGAATCTGGTAGCGCGCGCGCGCGCGCGCACACACACACACACACACACACACACAAAATCTAGTCCCAGTTCTGTAAAGATGAATTAAATACTCAAGAAGTTTAGTTCACTATTGTGAATTATCTGATATACTGTTATGACTTGATCAGAGAACTAAAATGTCCTATAAGTAGGTAATACTAAAGGTCTTTCTCTTGTTTCTACTCTTGTTATGGTTCTAAATGGGAAAATAGGATTGTTTTCTAAAACTCAAATTTACAGCCATTTCTTTTTTGGAACACATCAATTTCATATATTTTAAAAATGATTTTCTAAATTTATTGTTAGTATGATGTATCTTCCTAAAAGACAATGAAAAGGAACGTGTTTATGTTTTTCATAAAGAATGCATAAAGTAAAATCCAGCAAGAGCTTGTGATTTTGAACAGTACACTAAACATTTCTAGGCTTTTGATTGACAAACTATAAAATGAGGTTTGGGGGATAATTTCTAAGGCACCATTCAGCTCTTAAACTGTATGATTCTATAATTCTGTGAATATGTGTTCGTAATGTAGGAAAATAAATATTTTAACTTTTGCAATTGTTAGGTGGTCAAGAGATTATAATTAAAATTTTAAAAGATAAAGAACTCAAGTTGTAGGAAATCCTGTGGTTATGAGTCCCAATTAGTAGTGAGCCTAATTATTTCAAAACAGTATGTGATGAAGTAAGAGTTTATAGCTATTCAAATTAATAAATTATATAAACCAAACTTTAGATTATACCATATTACTTAGTCATTTTATTCTTCCAGTAAAATTATTTAACCAGGGATTTTTCTTTCCCCCTAGGCAATGCCGGTATGATAACTTTATTTGCCAAACTTTACCTGAGTTCAGCTTCTCACCATTGTAACAACTTAAATACTTAGCAATAAGCTAACTGTGAGTTAAGACTGAAGTTGTTTCCAAGGTAGGTCCCCTATTCTATATATATAAATCACTATTCTATAGATAAACTGGAATTATCTAAAATGTCAATCTAGCAGGATTATGTAGGAATGCACCAAATTGTACTAACTATTGAAATTCCTATCATTTTTTTATTCAGCGATCCTAAAAATATGTGGACTTTTCATAATCTGATTATCAAACCAGATTGGGAAATTCTGATAAAAGAGAATATTATATACCTTTTTCTTTTTTTTTTAAATAAATTCCCTACCCCCTACACACAAGGCAGTAAATAATAAACTCTCAATAATTATTTTTTATTATTTCTTGATTAAATAATATAATCAGCCAAAATTAAATAATATTCTCTACCATAGGATTAGTTGCATATAAAATAATTCTTGTTCTCTCAAATTGCCAAGTTAATGTAAAAAAACTGAAAACCAGTACACTGTACACATAATAGTTTCTTAGCAATTTGCCTTATATTGAAATTTAGTATTTTTAGGTTGTTTTTAAAGGAGTGAGAGGGGAAGGATAAGGATACTAGAGTATTATCAAGCAGGCACATCCACTTGTGGGGAGACCACTGGTTCTGAGGCTTAACTGTATACTGACTCCAGACATTCAATTTAGTGATGTAGTTCAACAATATATTTTTGAAGAAATGAAAATCCAGGCTAAGCCTTTCATTCTACTGCCAGTATTTTCAATAAAAAATGGTAAGAAAACAAAGTTATTCTGTTTTCCTTAAAAAAAAAAAAACCCTATTTTTATGAATCATATGAACTAGATGTCCACCAGAAGTTACTTATTTTCTAAAAGCCTCCACAGCCAAAATTAGGAAAAGGAAAAACTGCAAAAATCATGTTCTTAAATACATTGTAGATCTACTGAAGCAATCAGAAAATAATTCAAACTATAGTTCCAGACACAGAAGAGCTCTTTTTAGGTGTGTTGATGATTTTTGAGAACAATTTGTGGATTTTCAGTGTGGAACTGAGGATCAATCGGACTTGTCCCAAGTAGAAGGACTTTTAAAACAGAAAGAGAATCCAGCAAGCTTTTGGCAACTGTGTGGGGTTAACACAGTTGGAAACTGGAGGACCCCCTAAGTATACATAATGACCTATTTTCCACCTCCATTGGCTGAATTCTGAGGTGGTATGGAAAGCTAGAAAAGTTTGCCAGCAGATTCTAAACACAAAATGAAAACTCCCAAGGTTTTATGGTGCATAGTGGACAAAAGTCTGGCTAGAGGGAGAGGGACTGTCACAAACACAAGACGGATCTCTTCTTGAAGATATTTGTCATTGTTTTGAAGCTGTGTAGGTGGGAATGCAGAGAGACAAACTCAAAACCATCAAAGCAGAAATGAATCTTCCATAGTCTTTCAGGTCTTAAGGACACGGCGACAGACCACCAAGCCCTCAAAAGCCATGAAACAGTGTCTGAAGAAGAGGAATGAGCCTGAGGTGAACTGGGTCTTATTAAAACTTTACAGCACAGGCTGGATACATATAGCTTACTCCTTCACTGGATTAAGATAACTCCTTATCCTTCTACCTATTAGAGGGGTTGATTCTGCCTAATAGAGGAAAGGTCAAATCCTCTTAGTATAAGATATCATCTGGTGCACATCATAATAAAAAAATTGAAAACTGGAGACCTTCGGTAGCTCAGTTGGTTAGGTCCAGCTGAGGTCATGGTTTCAGCTCAGGTCATGATTCCAGGGTTGTAGAATCGAGCCCCTTCTCAGGCTCCACACTAGCCTGTTTGAGATATTCTCTCTCTCTCTCTCTCTCTCTCTCTCTCTCTCTCTCTGTCTCAATCTCTTTCAAATAAATAAATAGATAAATAGAATTTGAAAACTATCAACAAAATCTTAAAAGGAGCAGAGAAAAAAGACATAAATTTTAAAAAGCAGTAAGTCTGAGTGCTGACTCTTCAGTAGAACAGTGAAATCCAGAAGACCATTGAGTGACGTCTTTAAATTGCTGAAGAATAAAAAAAAAAAATGCTAACCTTGAGTTTTATATCTAAGGGAAAAGCTTTCAAGATTAAGGCAAAATAAAGGTTTTGGACAAACAAAAGCTGAAAGAAGTCACTGCCAATAGTCCTGATTGAGGAAAGCGATCCTATATCCTCAGGGGAAAAAAAAAAAACCACACACAAGTAAGGGTAATTGTACAAATTTAAAAAGACTATTACTTGTTTAAAACCACAATAATAACAATGTCTTGTGGGTTTTTATAACCTGTGTAAGTAGAATATATAACCGTAGCACAAATGGTAAGAGGGATAAGGGTCTTTCATTATTAAAAAGTGATAAAAGTTGGGGCGCCTGGGTGGCTTAGTTGGTTAAGCATCCGACTTTCACTTAGGTCATGATCTCGCGGTTCGTGGGTTCGAGCCCCGCATTGGGCTCTGTGCTGACTGCCAACTCAGAGCCTGGAGCCCGTTTCAGTCTGTGACTCCCTCTCTCTCTGATCCTCCCCTGCTCACGCTGTCTCTCTCTCTCTCTCTCTCTCTCTCTCTCCCCTAGGGAAAAAAAAACATTCAAAAAGTGATAAAAGTTAATAAAATGTATAAAACCATATGCCCAGCATGCTATGCTTTGGGGTGCTAGTTACACAGGTATGTTTATATATATGTGTGTCTGTGTGTGCCTGCATGCACACAAAAATTTTCCTTCTACACATAGGCTACCAGGTCTTAAATTAGTCTATGCTAAAAAAAAAAAAAAAAATGATGAATGGCTGTTAAGCATACTGAAATATGTTTAACATCATTAATCATTAGGAAAATGCAAATGAAAACCACAATTAAGATTACCACTTCAGACTCACTAGGAGGGCTGTAATTTAAAAAGAAAATAGCAAGTGTTGGTGAAGATGTGGAAATTTTGGAACATTTATATATTATGTATGTAATGTAAAATAGTACAATCAGCATATTAAATAATTTGGCAGCTTCTAAAATTTAAACATGCATTTACCCAGCAATTCCACTCCTAGGCATCTACCCAAAAGAAATGAACACTTATGTCCACAAAAAAACTTGTATGTGAATATTTACAGCTGTTTTATTTGTAATAGCCCAAAACTAGAAGCAATCCAAATATCTACTAACTGAGGAATAAGTAAACAAAAATGTGGCATATCCATACACTAGAATACAATTCATTAATAGAAATGAGTGGAGGAGGAAAAAAAGGAACAAACACTAATACAAACTATAACATGGATGAACCTTAAAAACTTGCTAAGTGAAAGAAGCCAGACACAAAAGCCAACATATTGTATGATTCCATCTACATGAAATTTCTAGAAAAGGCAAATACAGGGGCACCTGGGTGGCTCAGTTGGTTAAGTGTCCAACTCTTAATTTCAGGTCAGGTCATGATCTCACAGTTTATGGGTCTGAGCCCCTCATTGGGCTCTGTGCTGACATCACAAAGCCTGCTTGGGATCCTCTCTCTCCCTTTCACTCTGCCCCTCTCCTCTCCTGCTCATTTTCTTTCTCGCTCTCGCTCTCATTCTCGTTCTCACTCTCAAAATAAATAAACTTTAAAAAAAAAAAAAGGCAAATATATGCACTCAAAGCAGAAGGCTGTTGCCTAGGGCTAGAGACCAGGGGCTGACTATAGAAGCATGATGGAACTTTAGGTGATAGAAATTTTCTAAAACTGGATTAAGATGATGGCTGCACAATTGTATATATTAACAAAAAGACCATTAAGCTGTACACTTACACTGGGTGAAATGTATGTACATTGTACCTCGATGGAGTGGGTTTTTTTAAGCCAAAGAGTTATGTTTCCATTAGCAGACCACTGTATCAAAATGGTAAAAAAAAAATTTATACTTTTAACAATGAGAGCTGCAGAAGACAATATGAAAATGTAGGGATCACTTGAGAGGAAGTGTATACTACTTTTCTATTTTAGGAAATAGTTAAGAGTGTCAGCAGCTCTTGGATTATAATACCATTGTTAGTTTGCCCCGTATTTGGCTGAATATCTATTGCTTTTATACAATAGGAAATTCTTTTGTAGATACTTTTCAAATTATCTACTTTTTTGTAGGTGTTTCCAGTTAATTTGTGGTATACTATACCAATCTTACATATAGCCAATGATAGTTTTGAGCTTGGTAATGACTAAAATTTCATATTAATATGAATATAAAAGTGGTATAATTTTGTCCTCTGAATTATTTTGTTACCAAAATAAAAATAAAAATAAATTATTCTGTTACTATGCTTAGTAGTTTGATTATATTTAAAAATATATTCGAAAGCAACAGGAAATTTTCAGATGTAGTTTTATAGGTATCCATCTAAATTTAAAGCTAGAATTCTAATTAGATTGAAAAGTGCACTAAGGCATAGTTGAAGATTGGACTAAGTAATAAAAAAAAAGTTTGGGTTTCCCCTATTATCCAAAAGTAAAATGTTCCTATGAAACCTTCCGTAAGCTGAAATAGTCTACAGGGAAGAAAGAGTATCCCCCCCTTTTCCAAAAATTCAAGTTACACCACTTTACTTTTATGAAAGGCTTATCATTTAATAATGGCTTTTTTTGTAAAGTAAAAATCCTCTTTGGGTTTCTTTTGATCCCTAAGTGAGAATAGGTACTGATATAGGTCTTTCCTAAAAGTGAAATGGTGTAACAAACTTTCAGAAAGTGTGGGATACCTGTATATACTCTGTGCCTAGTAAGACAAACTGAAAGTTTACAGGATGGTAAAAACTGAAGTGATCTTTGCAGAGAACTTCAACAACCATTCTAGGACTTTCTGTAACCGGTTCTCTGGACAATGATCCACCCTTTGTAAAGACACAGCAGTATTCTGTCTGTTCAGTAACATCTAGGCCTATCTCATTCTCCCATTTTTTGTTTTGTTTTCAGGAGGCTTTTAGGTCAAGGGTCTTCGGAATGGAGTAAAGGTAGCCCTAAAATCTGAGTCTGCTCTCTCTGTTGAGTATGAAATAAAAAACAAAGCTATTCACAAAATA